CAGGTGAACCAGGTGAAGCAGGTCCCTGCAGGTGAACCAGGTGATCCAGGTTCCTGCAGGTGAACCAGGTGAAGCAGGTCCCTGCAGGTGAACCAGGTGATCCAGGTTCCTGCAGGTGAACCAGGTGAAGCAGGTCCCTGCAGGTGAACCAGGTGATCCAGGTTCCTGCAGGTGAACCAGGTGAAGCAGGTCCCTGCAGGTGAACCAGGTGATCCAGGTTCCTGCAGGTGAACCAGGTGATCCAGGTCCCTGCAGGTGAACCAGGTGATCCAGGTCCCTGCAGGTGAACCAGGTGATCCAGGTCCCTGCAGGTGAACCAGGTGATCCAGGGTCCAGAACCAGGTCCAGGCCTGTTGGAAACACAGATTTGCACAGACTGATGGAGATTCAAGATGTGAAAGTTTCATCAGTCTTGCAGCTGTTTGTGTCTGCAGGTGCAGCTTCCTGCAGGTGCAGCTTCCTGCAGGTACAGCTTCCTGCAGGTACAGCTTCCTGCAGGTGCAGCTTCCTGCAGGAAGTGGGGGGTGTTTCTGATGATGATGATGATGATGATGAAGATGATGATGAAGAAACATGACGTCAGTTCTGCTCTGAAAGAACAGTTTAGAACAAAGGTGTCTGCACGTCTGCAGAAGCGAGCACGTGCGCGCCTGTAATCCTAATCCTCCCTCTGGTGACGTCACTCAGACCCCAGCGGACCCTGCTGAACCCGTGACCCTGAAAACTGAAGCACCTGCAGKAGTCGCTGCGCTGTTTGCTCTCCGTGCGTGACGTCACTATTTCCTGCAGGTCTGTCCTCAGAGACGCTCCGACGTGGTTTTTCAGCTGCAGCTCAGGTCCTTTGACCCCTGAGACCCCTGAGACCCCTCAGGACCCTCAGGATCAGAGGATTAAACAAACCAGATGAAAGTTTTATTTCTAACATGTTTAAAACAGATCCATTTAAACAACAGGTGAGATGATAAAATATTATTAAACAAGAAAGTTAAAGTAAAATCAAGAACATTTAWACAATAAATAAATAAATAAAATCTTGTAAAAATGAACTTTTTGAGAGTAAAATTAATCTGAATCATCTGCATAACAATGAAATAAAGTTTTTGTTTCTTATAAATAAAGACGTTCTTTATAAAGAAGCAAACTAAAACCATCTTTTGTTGACAAAGTTTTTTTTTAGCTGTTTTTGTCAGATAACTTAAGGCACAATCTGTCAGTAGCTTAAGGATGACTCTCAGCTACTACCACACCAAACTTTAGCGCTGTGTGACTAACTGAGGTGTGTAAGCTGAGCTGGCTGCAGCGACCATTTTAAATCAAACTCTTTCCATGATTTAATGAACCGCAGACATTCATTCACTGATTCTTACCTAAAAGTTTCACTAGAATCTGCSCAYTGGYTTGTGAGATATTTTACTAACAGACAAATATGGTTGGTTCTGCTAGTTAATGGTAAAATTTTCAGCAAATTTCCCACCCTACGTTTTATTTTTTGAGTTTTATATTGAGGGGCAGTCTCAGCTACTACCACACCAAGTTTTAGCTTAGTGTCTGTAAAACCGACTGAGCTGTCATCGTTTTTATGTTTGGTACCTTTGCCTAGCTGTGGCGGCCATCTTGAATCTTGTGTATTTCCAAAGTTGATCAGTTGTAGACACATGTCCATTGATTACATTCTGAGAGTTTCATGAAAATCTGACCTGTGATTCATGAGATATTTTGCTAACAGACATCCTAATTGGTCAAATTCAAGTTTTGCCCTTTATCGGCGGGTGATAATGAATTTAATTATCCAGAAAGGCTCTTAATAGAACTACCAGACCTCTGCCATTTGGGAGTTATACCTTCAAATCCCAAGGAACTGCCATAGATGTGAATTCTGCCCATTTGGTCCTCCTTACCCC